ATGTATGTGTAGTATATAGAGTAGAGCTTGTAAAATAGGTGGTAGGTAAAGAGCAGTGACTCAATTGGGCCTAATTAAGATGCATAATATTACATTAAGCTTACGTTAAGCTTGTATATTAACCCAATACCAAAGTTCGTCGATCTAGAACAACTTTCTGCGAAAGAAAATGTTTTATATGTTAATCTAGGCAAAAGCTATCAATGTCGTAAATTTCAAGCAAATCGCACCTGGTCACTTGCCCATTTCCAGGAAGAAAAGGAATCTTCGTATTTATTTAAATAAATATATACCTATGTATGTGTATGTATCAAGTATGTGGAACAATAACTCCGACTATATAAAATATGAACAAGTAAACCGTCTCGAAACTGACACAAATATTGCAAGATGAAAATTTGTCCCATCGATCTAGGCATTCTCGAATTTTAGCGAAACAAACCCACATCAATGGACCTTTACTCATATACTTATTTAGATAAGTTTTCGTATATGTAGTTGTTGTTGTAACCGGTATAAATGCCTGACAGTCGTTGAATAATGGTAACTTATTGAGGGAAGGTGGATATCAGAGAACTCTGTGGCTCTCATTCAATATTTCAATATTTATGTAAAGAAAAAACCTTTGTAAGTTTAAGGCCTGATTCAAAATTCAAATGAACCGAACCAATAATAAATTTTTTTAATAGTTCGTTCCTTGGTGTCTTTCCTGGTTGAAATACTATTTTTTCGAATTTACCAATATATATTAAAAATATTATTATCATTATTTCTGCATGAATGAAAATTGAGTGTTCATGCTAAACTAAGACTTCCATTTCATCGAACCATAAATACGTTTTTTTCTTAATTGGTCGATTTCTCATCCGCTTCTCAGTTATGTTCGTAATGATCTAAACAAAATTTCAAGTAAATCGAAACACAAATAAAATGCATTCCGAACTTCATTTTTCTCTCAAATTTCAAAATGATTCGAACTTTTTAGGAACATTTTGGGGGATTTCATGAACCTTTGCTGAAGATTTAAACAAAATCGCTCAGAAATTGCTTGATGCAGGATGACTCGAAGGGCTTTCTGAGATCTGATTGTGCTTGTGGTAATGATCAGCGTCAGTTTTGCGGGTATACCGTACTGTCGAAGGTTGCTTCAAAATCGTTTAAGAATTTGGTGTGTGTCAATCATTTTAAGACGGGTCATAGGTGAGAGTGTACAGGAAGAACGTCAAGAGTCGATTCGGCGCCGTTCGCAGCAATTCTGACCGACATATGGAACAAGTTAGCGTATTTTACGTCGAAATCATAAATTGAATACCCACAGGATACATCTTGGATAATACCATCACATGCGTCATCGCTTCGGTCTATGGGCTCTTGAAAAGTTCAAAGAAGATTCGACGTTTTCAAACCATCGATACCGAGTTCTGCGATGAGGCACATTTCCGGCTCAATGGGTTTGTAACAAAGCTAAATTGTCGCATTTGGGATGAAGAGCAATCTGAAAAGGTTTAAACGTTTCCATTTCATGCAGAAAAAAGAGATTTCTTGTGAAATTGAATTTTGTTTGAACCTTGTGAGGTTTATTTATGTTCCACCCGAATGTGCATAGATTTTTGGGTAAATATGTTTGCCTTTGCATTCACTTACTAAAGGATAAACCATAGCATTTTGTGCCGCGTGCTCCTGCGTATTTGCAAGCCAAATTCTGTAAAGGTATGTTCAATAGTCCCACCACGATGGGTAGCTGCCTACGGTGGCGCTCGGATTGCAGCTGCAGCAGGTGCCATTTTACGTGAAATGTTGGGAGATGGTCACCGTTTAACGTATTAAGCAGGAATATTTAATGCAAAATCAACAACGCCGGTGTGGTTCGGTGCATGGTTAATATGTTTGGAGCGCCAAAGCAAAGAACAGACACATACACACGCACATACACCCATATGCTGCGGCTACTAAGCATATAAGCAAAAACAACAGCAAACAGCACAATTACAGCGTTGGCTGTTCAGTCCACACTGACCACCAATACTCATAGCCAACAATGGCGGGGGAAAAGGTAGGAGAGCGATGGTGTCGTTAAGCACAACAAATGAGGAGAAGCGCCAGCAACATAGCATACGCTCGGTCTCAGCTAGGCTATCAGCCAGCTAACCATGCCAAAGCATTCTATTGTACATACAAACATATATGTAGATATGTACATACATTTGTTTGTAAGTAGTTATTAGTAAATGTTTGTTTGTAGGCATTTTCGGGAGTTTTGGGAACAATGGTATTCGGTCGGCTAAGTCGCTGTACGTAGCTTTGTTAGCCCCAGCATTGTTTTTGGTTGGTTGGACAAGTCAACTGAGCTTACATAAGTGGCCCACACAAAAGCGGGCGAGTTGAGAATGCTTAGTTTTGTTGGTTATTTAAACGTATACATGTGTATGTATGTATGAATGTTGAGTGCAGAAGCATAACCTGATTATGTACTCACAGTGGTCAGTGTGTTTTACTACAAACCACGCGTTTCGCTTGCGCTTTCCGCAAATGCACCACTCGCTTCCCATTCAATTATGTCCGTGACCATTGTTGGCTCTAATTGACCTTGGAATAGCCACAGCATGGTGTATTTTAGTGGATTAAAATTAAATATTTTTCAAATTACCTAAATGCGTGTGCGTAAAGCAATAAATATTTACATATATGTTTATATGCATTATACATACATAAATAGCATTTTATGGTACAACCTCTGAAAGGATTTGTTGACCGAGTTTCTCTTCGAAGTCGTGATGTGCGTCTTAAAGTTTTTTCAACAAATGCAAGGACCTACACTTCTATCCTAAGCCACCACTGAACCACATTTTTGTTATTTCATGTCAGATATAAGCTTGTGAGGCTTTGCATTCCCTGCCAAGGGGCGATCGCAATAGTAAAAATTGGTTTTCTATAATTTTGGAAGTTAGTTGACCCAGAACCTGAACACTGAACTTCCCAATTGTAGTCCGCACTGTTGACCACTGGACTTTTGCAACAAGAATAGAAGAAGAGTTCTTCTGACACTTACCACAGCTACACGGCCCACATATTTCGAGAGACTCCGTCGCAGAATATTGGCATTTGATGAATGAACATCTTGCCACAATACGTAACATAATGAAATTTTCCAGTGCTCTAGATGTGTTTACGTTCCAAGTTCCTAACATTGACTCGTATCACTGTTTTGTCGCAACAAAGATACGCTCACTCACTGTGTATCAAAAAACATGAGTCAATGAACACAGAGATGAATCGACGTCAAAAACGTGCAACAGCAACAAAAAACAAAACGGGTTTCTACTCGGCTTAAACTACCGTAGAACCAATGTGACTGTATAAACTGGCGCTGGATAACACCAAAAGCGCATTGAGAATAGTTCGGTACCAAACGAGGTTTCAGACAGGGTGAGTCTTCATCGTTTGACCTCTTCAAGAGGTTACAATTATTGGCGCATGCCGATGATATTGTTGTCATAGGCCTTACCACCCTTCGCCAGAGTTGATGAAGAAGCGACGGGAATCGACCTGGTAGTGAACGAGGACAAGACAAGAAACAGTCATCGCATTTACAACTCACGTCGTGGTTATAGTCATAACTAAGAGATCGCAGATAATTTCGTTCATTTAGGGACCAGCATTAATATCAATAATATTGTCAGCCTTAAAATCCCAAGCAGAAACTCTCCAGCCAACATGTGCTACTTTTGACTGAGTAAGCAATTGAAAAGTAAAATCGAAAGCCAAGCTCTACATCATCCACATCCTATTATATAATGCAGAAGCGTGGACAGTGTCGTCATCTCATAAGTCGACCCTTGAAGTCTTCTAGTGCAAAGTTTTGCGAATGATTTCTGATCATTTGCGCATTGGCAACAGTGATCCTGCAAAATTAATGGATTAACTTTTAGCTAATCCTATATTTGAGACGGGCTTTCACCTGGACTGAAGAAAGGTTAATGGGACGAGTATAGCCTTGTCTCTGCGAAACGGAGTGAAAGTATCAAAAACCGAAGCGAGTAGAATATATTTATCTAATGGCTTTCACCTTATCTCGGGGAAGACTATACAATTTATATTTCTATAACAATGCTTGCATAAAAATTTTTAAAGAAAAAATTGTATACCTATATATTCTACATCTAACTACAGTTGCATTGCGCTCATAAGCTGCGCAAAATTACATAACCACCTCTTCGGCTGCAATCAATTTCATTAAAACCTGCCTTAGTGTTTTACCCTCCAACACCCCATTGCCCATGCTAACATAAACGTCGCCTCTTTGTCGTAAAAAACACCCCCTCTACCGGTCATAATTTAAGTCCCCTGACTCGACAATATAATTTTTTTAACAATCGGTAATTTGTGGTTTTTGCGGTCATGTTTTCAGTTCAGCTTTTCACTTGCTATTTTATTTATAGCGCCGTTTTCGCGCACACACAAGTGGAAAGCACACAAATGTAAACAGGTATTGTTGTATTAACATATACAGGAATATATATGTATGTACATATGTATGTATGTAAGCAGGTTGATCGTTGTAGCATTTTAATTGCATATATTAGGGCTTTTCGCTTGGTTAGTTGTTGCTTCTTTGGTTGGTTGGCCACCGGCCTGATTGGGTGGCAAAGAGCTGGGTCATTTTCTGCATGAAAGTGCAGCTGGCCAGTTTTTATTGTTCTATGCTGCGCTATAATTTTATTGTATTTAACCTTTTTTCCTGTTTATTTGCCAGCTTGTGTTTTTACTTTTTACACTTTTTGTACTTTCCGTTTACCTTTTCCTTCTTTAATTGTCGCTTATTTTGTTATTGATTACCGGCTTGTAAATTAAACATTCTTTGTTGTTATTTTTTCTGCTTATTTGACAAGACGAAAGTGATTCATGACTAATGAAAGCTTGATTCACATTAAAAACAAATATCACTTAGATTTAATTTTTAATAAAGTAAAACAAAAAATATGATATTGTCCAACACTTACCTACCACATCCAGATAGCCCATTTGACTCTTCATTGGATCTGTATTTATTTGACACATATACCAGCCTTTATCGCTTTCTTTGATATCTTTAATTTTCATAGTCCACGTTTTGTGCTCGGAATTTGTTATGCCGATTCGTTGATTTTTTGTGATAACATGATTTTGTATGGTTAAAATTGTTTGTGTATCAACACGCAACCACGCTACCTGCAAGGTACAAGAAAATAGATTAGTGGTATATAAGAAATGTGTAACGAAAATGAGTTGAAATCACGACTATAAATGAGATATCGAATTATCATAAAACTAAAAATAATCATTTAGCATTTTGGTATATTATCGTATAAAATCACATCACATGATAACCCGCCGCTTATTTTTGTTTACTTCCGATACGTCACGTGATATCCCCACGCATCACCTCATCGAAAATTCCATACCATTGCGCATCATCTTAATTCTCGAAACAAGTCACAAAATTAATCAATAACACGTAGTTGCCGAATGTATTTTATTAATATGTGATATCACGTCACATATCATATCCTCAAATCGCAGCATATACGCATTTAATGCATAACATAACCTATCGTTAAATATCGATAGACATCTTAATATCTTACAGGCAGAAGTTTTAAATACAAGTAATAAATATTATAATTTATTTTAAAGGTCAAGTAGTCCAAAACTCAAATAAGAATCACATGACATCTCATCACGTCACACAAAATTTTACCTTACTGTCAACATAAAAATTCGCGCAACAGTGCTTCTAGTGTGCTTCTCAAAACTTTTACAAAATCAGCAAGTAATAAATAGTTACAGAATATTTTATTCTGATTAATCACATCACGTCACATCTTTATACCACATCACATGAATACGTGGTGATTCAATCAGTTAACGCCATAAACCGTAATTCCTGTCGTTACAAGCTGCGTAGGATCTTTTTCAAGATAATTTCTTTAATATCTATTAAATATTTAGAATGAAACTTCTTTATTTATTTAAAAAGTCAATTCAATAAAAATTAAAAAAAATCATGTTGACAATACAGCAGTGTTCTGAACATCACGTCACGTCACCTTATGTAATCACTACAGCAGATACAAAATTTGATCTTCTCGAGAAAAAGCGCCCTCGGAAATAGTATTGGTTGCAATATATATTTCACATGACATGTCTTTAAGTCACATGACATCAAGTCACGTCGCACACAGTTGAGTCCGAATATTTATTGGAAGATAATTATTTCCTAAAATAACAAGCGAATTACACTTTTAAGTCTTCGATCAAAATTTTCCACCGAAAGTACATTATAATAGACTGTCCGCTAGCGAAAATGTTATATACTTTGTTTTTAAAAGCTTTAAAATACATTGTTAAGAATTTAGACAATATTATTTTTTTTCAGGAAGTGTATTTTTGTAGTTTTTTTTAAGAAATCCCTTCAAATACTTTTGCAAAAATAAAAACAAAACGCAAAATACTTCTACTTCAGTGAAGAAAACGGAGGATTGACTTTAGTGCATAATGAATTCCATGAAGATATAATCTGTTATAAGTATTTTAGTGACTAGATATGTACACTTAAGAATGAAGATAAGCAGTTTATTTTTTAATTTAAAAAAATTTTTTTTTTTAATCGAAAAAAAAAAACAGTATTTGTATAAACGTAAAAAAATATTGAAGAAATGGAAAATCTTTGTCCAAACAAGATCATATGTTCTTTTGTGAATACTTAAATTGCTTTTGTACTATAGACTGTTTTTGTTTACTCAAATACCATTATTATGATTAAAAAATAGATATTAATACTACATATATACATGTATGTAATGTTTTGCATTGAGACAATATAAATAAAACGATAATTTAAGTAATTCGACTTCCATTTCAAAGGCATGAACATCATCTCTTATGCCTCATATGCAAATTCGTAAATAAATTAAGTGAAAAAATCTGTACAAATTATGCAAGTAATGAATAAATTTCAAACACAAATAAATGAATGTGGTGATAAATAAAAGAAACCTGAATCACAACGCTTTCTAATGAATAAATTTTTAAGGGTTGTAAGCTGTTCCGATGGTAGAAATAAAGTAGAGGGCGAAAATTGCGGATTTTTGGATTCATATTTTTCATTGTCAAAAAATGCAAATAAAAATTTGTTATTTGTGAATGTTGAAGACATGCTTCATTGGTGAAAAGGGACACTTAATATCGAAATAAGATATTAAACCATATAGTAATATTTGGCAAAAACATAATAAATGCTGTAAAAACAGATAAAACGTCTATAAATTTTTTTTGTTTTTTTTTTCTCTAATGTTTTACGCACATATACTTTTTTTATCAACTTAAAATATTTTCATGATGTGGTTTGTACACGGTTATCCATTATGAGAAGCGAAAATAAACGCAAATAATTGCATTTAAAATATTTTTATTATTATTTGAAATTCCTTTTCTATTATAAACATTGAACCTTGGCACTAAATGCGAAATACAGCATCATTCAAATGACCACTGCGCAAATTTCTCCAAAGCTCCAACCGATTGACGTAATTTCCAAGCACTTTTAGGCGCATATTGAACGTTCTCCCAGCCATAACTTGACGAATGTTGGTTTACAAGCGCTCAAGTGCTGAAAGTTTATTCGCGCAGAAGCCCTCAAGGGCAATCGAAGTCAAATCGCACGATCTGGTTGGCCAATTGACATCTTCAAATATCTCTAGCAGTAAAGCCATATTCTCTCGTTATGTGGCACTACATATTGCGCAAGTTTAGTTCTTCTTTGCTGGCCAAAGGAATTCGGCTATCATACGACCATATTGCTTCGAATCAAGAATAGTGATGGTCTCGCTGTTGTCGCTTTCAAAGGTGTAAGACCCCATCACACCTCCGGGCTAAAGAGCTCACCGTAAGTAAGTTTATTTTGCATGCATTTCTAACCACCAAAACATGCAAGCAAATAATCTGAGGCGCTCTCGGCAACTTCATATTTCCAAAGCAACAATGCCATGAGATCGACTCAAAATGTTGCTTTGATAAAGGCAACACGTTCTACATGCTGATGTTGAGTAAATCAGCATCAATTGATATATATCGATTATGACAAATCGCAATCACCCAGAAGTATTTTTTCCTTATGCGTGACCGAGCTAGGTTTACATAGTATATTCCGTCGAAGAAAGTACAGAATAAAAATTTGGTGGACATTTTACCCTCTCAAGAGACGAACTTACACAGGAAAATGGCCAAAATGTCTGTTTCATTAACAACAAAACCAATTTTTATATTGTAGGCTTATTCATGAATTTTTCGATGAACTTCTAAGATAGTCCTAATAAAACTTTTATTAAGCTTTCTCTTCTTTTATTATCATTGATAAACTAAAGGGTGATTTTTTAGCTATTATCTTCTTGGCATAACTGCATAACTGGTACGTAAGTAAGCAGAATTGTTGATTTTGGAGTGAAGATCAGTCAAAAACAATCCAAGAGCTACCAATGCATCCAGAAAAAGTCACAGTTTGGTGCGATTGAACCATGCTACTTCATAGATGACGCAAATTGTAAAGTAACTGTGAATGGTGAGCGCTACCGTGAGATGATATCAAACTTTTTTTCATCCAAGATGCAAGAGCTTAGCTTGCATGACCTGTAGTTTCAACAATACGGTGTCACATTCCACCAGCACGCGTAACAGAGAGGCGAGTTGTGTGAACATTTTATTTCACGTTTGAGACCGGTCAATTGGCCGCCAATATCGTGCGATTTAACGCCTTTATATTATTTTTTGTGGGACTATGTTATATCGAATGTCTATTAAGACAAGCCCGCTTCAATTGATGAATTTGAGATACCGGCCGAAATGTTAGAAAGAGTATGCTAGAATTGGACTAAGCGGTTGGGGCATTTGAGGCGCAGTCACGGTTAAAATTTGCATGAAATGATTTTTAAACATTAAATTATATGAACCGAACTATCGATTCAAATAAAGATTTCATGCAGTTTTCTGAATTCTATGTTCTATTTTTTAAATTTTCCTATGGCTCTTAAAAAATCACTCTTTACTATGTTGAAATATCAGAAAAATAAAGACACGTTTTCTACATATTAGTCTAGGGAGAAGGTAAAGGGCCACCTACATGGGCTCCACATACTTGATTAAACCGAACCATTGAATCGGCACCAGGGATATTTCCCAGAAAAAAAGTTTCACAAGCCAATTAAGCAAAGACTTATCTGTGTACCGAATTTCATGTAAATCAAACAATCAAAAACTAAACTGAAGTTTTTTCGAACAGAACGGTTTCGCTTCCACTTCTTTATTATCGGGTGCGAACGTCATATGCAGAACACAACCTCCAAGTTTCAGCTCATATACATTTTGTTATCTGTATTCTTTACCCAAAGTAGGTTTGCTCACAGCTTTTCTGGCCAGGTCATTTTAAACAAAGAAGGAATGCAGAATTCTTTCACGCATAAAATTATCAAAAATGAGTAGCTGTGCATTAAGCAACAAAATATATAAATAAAAAGAGGTACATTAAAATGATGAAAAATTCTTATTATCAAAACGGATATGAAACCAAGTGCACAGATCAAAAACAAACCAATTTCGAAGTGATGATGATGATGAGATTACAGTGTAATGAATTCATGAGATACCCATACAAGGGATCTTAACAAAAATTTAACATTTTGTTCATTAATATAAACATTTCTTAATACTACTCTAATGAATAGAATACAATTATCTGAAAGGATGTAAAAGCAGAGCTGGCATAAGTGGCATTGCATAGAGCTCGCAAGCACAACTCAAGCGTAATCTGCCTTTATTAACTCAACAAATGAAGCATATGACTATAATAAGCAAGCAAAGCGATATTGCAGTAGCAAAAAAAAGTAAAAAAAGTAAAAAAAAAACAGAACATTTCCTTACAAAAACACATACAAAAAAGTTTGCTAAAAAATTAAACGCAATGACAATGCTAAGCGGAAAGAAAAGCGCTCGCAAACGGGAAGTAAATAATTGTGCAGGTATCAAAGAAATTAATGAAACAAAAACAACGGAAATAATATAACAAAACAAATCAAGCAGAAGAAGAAGCAAGTATAATAACCACAATAAATAAATACAAGCCACAACAAAAGCAACAAGCAGCAACAGCCAGAAAACCAGAAAACAGATAGAAGAAT